CCCTATTGGGCCTCCTTGGGCCCTCTTGGGGTCTCGACGGGGCCCTCGTGGGGCCATCTTGGGCTCCTCTCGGAGCACCAAGAGGTGCCCAAAGAGGGGGCCCAACATCGGTCACGCGAGAGCTCGTCCGCGTGACCGATGTTGGGGCCATCTTGGGGTTCCTTGGGCCTCCTTGGGCCCACGTGGGGCTCCCTCGGGGCCCTCGTGGGGCCATCTTGGGCCCCTCTTGGAGCTCCAAGAGGAGCCCAAAGAGGGGCTCAACATCGGTCACGCGAGGGCTCTTCCGCGTGACCTATGCTGGGGCTCTCTTGGGTCCCTCTTGGGCCTGCTTGGGTCCTCTTGGGGTCTCGTCGGGGCCCTCGTGGGGCCATCTTTGGCTCCTCTCGGAGCTCCAAGAGGAGCCCACAGAGGGGCCCAACATCGGTCACGCGAGAGCTCTTCCGCGTGACCGATGTTGGGGCTCTCTTGGGGCTCTCTTGGGTCCCTCTTGGGCCTCCTTGGGCCCACGTGGGGTTCCCTCTGGGCCCCCTCTTGGGCCCGTCTTGGGGCCCTCTTGGGCCATCTTGGGCGCCTCTTGGGCCGTCTTGGGGCCCTCTTGGGCTGTCCTGGGGCCCTCTTGGAAGCTTCTTGGGCCGTCTTGGGGCGGTCTTGGGCGCCTCTTGGGCCGTCCTGTAACGTCGGAAAACCCAAAAGACAACTTTGTTGAACATGTACGTTTTACGAAGGGAATGGGCCAATTCTTGCGTCTAGGGGCCCTCTTGGGACGCATGTTGGAGGCTTCTTGGGGCCTCTTGGGGGCGTCCTTGGACGTCTGGGGTCTCCTGGGGCCTCTTGAGGGGCCTCCTGGGGGCCTCCTGGCGGCCTCTTGGGGCGGAAGGCTCGAGCTTGCGGTTCGTGGTCCCCCTCTGGGCCCCCTCTTGGGCCCGTCTTGGGGCCCTCTTGGGCCATCTTGGGCGCCTCTTGGGCCGTCTTGGGGCCCTCTTGGGCTGTCCTGGGGCCCTCTTGGAAGCTTCTTGGGCCGTCTTGGGGCGGTCTTGGGCGCCTCTTGGGCCGTCCTGTAACGTCGGAAAGCCCAAAAGGCGACTTTGTTGAAAATGTACGTTTTACGAAGGGAATGGGCCAATTTTGCGTCTAGGGGCCCTCTTGGGACGCATGTTGGAGGCTTCTTGGGGCCTCTTGGGGGCGTCCTTGGACGTCTGGGGTCTCCTGGGGCCTCTTGAGGGGCCTCCTGGGGGCCTCCTGGCGGCCTCTTGGGGCGGAAGGCTCGAGCTTGCGGTTCGTGGTCCCCCTCTGGGCCCCCTCTTGGGCCCGTCTTGGGGCCCTCTTGGGCCATCTTGGGCGCCTCTTGGGCCGTCTTGGGGCCCTCTTGGGCTGTCCTGGGGCCCTCTGGGAAGCTTCTTGGGCCGTCTTGGGGCGGTCTTGGGCGCCTCTTGGGCCGTCCTGTAACGTCGGAAAGCCCAAAAGACAACTTTGTTGAAAATGTACGTTTTACGAAGGGAATGGGCCAATTTTTGCGTCTAGGGGCCCTCTTGGGACGCATGTTGGAGGCTTCTTGGGGCCTCTTGGGGGCGTCCTTGGACGTCTGGAGGCCATCTTCAGCATCTCGGAGCCCTCTTGGAGGCCTCTTGGAAGTTTCTTGGGCCGTCTTGGGCGCTTCTTGGGCCGTCTTGTCTGACTGGGGAGGCCTCCGGCAAGCCCCGACGAGCCTCCGGGCCCCCCGGGGTGCACATTTGCGGTCGAGGTCCCGGCCCCGGGCCCCCGGACCCGGTGCGCCGTTATATGTATATATGTATATATATATATATAATATATATATATATATATATATATATATATATATATATATATATATATATCGAAGGTCGGGGGGTGAGATCGCAGTGAAATGGAGACCCCCAACCGGGAAATCGGCTTCGATGTCGTGTTCGTGTCGTACGTGCGGCCGAAGCGAAGCTGCGCGTGAACCTCCTGCAACTAGGCCGAAATAGGAGCGAAAGTCCGTCGCCCAGCAGCCGGTGGCCGGTTGGCCCGGGCGGTGTCCCGTGTGTCCCGGGTCCCCCGGCCGTCCTTTCCCGTCCGCCGGTGGCCGGTTGGGCCGGGCGGTGTCCCGGGTGTCCCGGGTGTCCCCGGCGTCCCAGTATCGATATTGAGATCGATGTGGTGGCCCAAAAAATGAAGTCGATAGTGGAATCGATCATGAGATCGACAGGTGTCCCGTGGAGTCCCGTGGTGTCCTATGGTGTCCCGTTGAGTGAGATCGATAGTGAGACCGATAGTGAGATCGATGTGGTGCCCCGAGGTGTCCCGTGGTGTCCCAAAAAATGGGATCGATAGTAATATCGATCGTGAGATCGACGGGTGTCCCGCCGTCCCCCGTGGTGTCCCATTGAATGAAATCGATAGTGAGATCAATGGTTAGATCGACAGGTGTCCCTCGGTGCCCCGTTGTGTCTTAAGGTGTCCCAAATGACTGAAATCGATAGTGATATCGATAGTGAAACCGATAATGAGATCGAGAGGTGTCCCGCGAAGTCCCGTGGTGGCCCGTGATGGCCCGTGGTGTCCCGTGGTGTCCCGTTGAATGAAACCGGTAGTGAGATCGACAATGAAATCGACAGGTGTCCCTCGGTGTCCCGTGGTGTCTCGTTGAGGGATCGATGGTGAAATCGAAGGTGAAATCGATACTGAAATCGATGTGGTGCACCGAGGTGTCCCTCAGTGTCCCGTGGTGCCCCGTTGGGTGAGATCGATGGTGGGATCGATGTGGTGTCCCGAGGAGTCCCGTGGTGTCCCGCTGAGTGAAATCTTTAGTGCGACCGATACTGAAATCGATGCGGTGCCCCGACGTGTCCCGAGGTGTCCCGTGGTGTCCCAAAAAGTGAGATCGATAGTGAGATCGATCATGAGATCGACAGGTGTCCCGCCGTCCCCCGTGGTGTCCCATTGAATGAGATCGATAGTGAGATCGATGGTTAGATCGACAGGTGTCCCTCGGTGCCCCGTGGTGTCCTAAGGTGTCCCGTTGACTGAGATCGATAGTGAATGGGACCGATAGTGAGATCGAGAAGTGTCCCGCGGTGGCCCGTGGTGGCCCGTGTGTCCCGTGATGTCCCGTTGGGTGAGACCGATGCTGAGATCGATTGTGAGATCGATTGGTGTCCCGTGGTGTCCCGTTGAATGAGATCGATGGTGAGATCGATAATGAATTCGATACTGAGATCGATGTGGTGCACCGAGGTGTCCCTCGGTGTCCCGTGGTGTCCCGTTGAGTGAGATCGATAGTGAGATCGATGTGGTGTCCCGAAGTGTCCCGTGGTGTCTTGTTAAATGAAATCTACAGTGAGACCGAGAGTTAGATCGAGAGGTGTCCCGCGGTGTCCCGTGGTGGCCCGTGGTGGCCCGTGGTGCCCCGTGGTGTCCCGTTGAGTGAGATCGATAGTGAGATCGATAGTGAGATCGACAAGTGTCCCGTGGTGTCCCGCGGTGTCCCGTTGAGTGAGATCGATAGTGAGATCGATTGAGTCAGATGTTGGTTCCCCCCTCTCCCCCCCCACAGCCTCCTTATCACCCGAAGGGTGGTCGTATAGGTGTGTGTGTGTATATATATATATATATATTGAACTGCCGCCGGCATCTACCTCGATCGAGAAGAAAAAGAAGAGAAGGACGAGGAGGAGGAAGAGGAGGCGGAAGCGGGAAAAAAAGAGAAGATTTCGTCGTCGTCGCCGCCGATGTCGCACAGATGTTCCTGGTCTTTCGACCACCCGAGGCATCTCCTCGAATTCAGCCTCCAGGAATCGTTTTCGGTGCCGGGGACCACCGCCGAAATTCCGGGATGAGGATCGAGCTCCCTGGCAGGTGCCACCCCTTCGCAAAGGAAGGAACACAGGGTGGATCGAGGCTCGAGGCATGAGACTCCTAGTTCTTGGGCGCTCTCCGCCCCCTCGTGGCCTTCAGGAAGCTCCTCGTCGACACGGCTGGGTCCACTCTCGAACTTCTGGCTGGACGCAGCCCCATGGGTCGCAGCGATCCCCGAGCCGACCCAGGAGGTGGAAAAGCAGGCCAGGGACAGGCCCCGTGAAGGCCCCAAGAAACTCACATTAGACCACGAAAAACTTCAAAACAATCCCCTACAAGGCCCTCCCTAGAACCCCACACGCCACGCAGGACAGGCCGAAACCCCAAGATTGCCCAGCGACCGCGCGCGTTCCGCGAGTTCTGTCTTTCACGACTGCTGCCGCCCCAAGGGGTCGGCGGTGCGGCGTAAGCCAACTAATCATTTTGCAAAGGCGTTACAAAAAGACTTCGGGAGAGGAAGACGAAACGGGAAGATGAAGAAAAACGAAGACGACGAACATGCATAAGGAATAAACTGATGATGCATAGCGTTCCAATCACTAGGAAGTCTATCACAAATGCCTGTTTGTAATCATGCAAACAGCGGGTCGGACCGGCCCCTCCCCCCAAATGGGGACACGGGCTGTCCCGCGGGGCTCCGAGCGGAGCTCCCCCCGGGCGGCCGCCTCCCCCGAACTCGAGCAGGGGATCGACCACAGACTCGATCTGCCCCAGACTCGAGAGGTGCTCGTCGAGCCTATGAAGAATACGCAGCACGCTCCTCACAGCATGCTGCGCGCTGCTCGCTCGTCGACTCGACGGAAGATCAATTCTGGGGCAAGTCCATTCTGCAGTCTAAGACAGGGCTAGGATCGGGATAAATCGCTCCAGAGCGTTCCAGAGCGCTCTCAGAGCGTTCCGGAACGCTCTGGAGCGGCCGCGGCGCCCAATACATCTTCCAAACCCGCCGATTCTCAGAGACTTCGAGTTATCCCGATCCGATGTTATCCCGATCTTCGCGTCGTCTTACAGCACGCTCCGCACAGCGTTCTGCGCGCTGCTCGCTCGTCGACTCGACGGAAGGTCAATGCTGGGGCAAGTCCGTTCTGCAGTCGGCCCCCTGCTCGACCGACCGGGCCGCGGCGGCTCGCCGAGCCCCCGGCCGGAGGACGACGCGCTGGGCTCGCGGGCGGCCCGCCCCATGGCGGCCGGGCGCGCCCCGCCCTCCGCCTCCCTGGCGCGGCGCGCGAGGGGGTCGAGGCTCGAAGGCCTCTTCCAGGCTCGAGGCTCGAGGCTCGAGGGCCTCCCAGCGGGACTCGAGGCTCGAGGCTCGCGGGCCTCCTCGCGGGACTCGAGGCTCGAGGCCCGACTGCCTCCTCGCGGGACTCGAGGGTCGAGGCTCGACTGCCTCCTCGCGGGACTCGAGGCTCGAGGCGCCAGGGTCGAGGCTCGAGGGCCTCTTCGAGGCTCGAAGGCCTCTTCAAGACTCCAAAATCGAGGCTCGAGGGCCTCCTAGCGGGACTCGAGGCTCGCGGGCCTCTTATGAGCTCCAGGGTCGAGATTCGAGGGCCTCTTCGCGTCTCGAGGGTCGAGGCTGGAGGGCCGAGCGCCTCTTCGATGGTCGAGGCTCGAGTGCCTCTTCGAGGCTCGAGGGTCGAGGGCCTCTTCCAGGCTCGAGGGTCGAGGTTTGAGGGCCTCTTCGAGGGACTCGAGGGTCGAGGCTCGAGGGCCTCGTCGAGGCTCGAGGGTCCAGGCTCGAGGCTCGAGCGTCGAGAGTACTTTACGTGTTTCGCGATAGCGGCCATTACGGGCCCCGACCGCCCCCCCCCCTTCCCCCCAGTCAACGTCCGTCACGAGTCACGATGCGTGCAGGACCTCCGTCGCCCTCGCCTCCCGAGCGGGGTCTGCAGGAAACCAACACGGCGCGGCCATCCCGGACCTGCGCGGTCGCACGAGATCCGCAGGCCCGAGCCCCGTGCACGGGACCTGCGGTCGGGAGCTTCTGCCCGGCGCGCCGCGGCGGCGGCCCCGGCGACCTGCGGGGCCTCGCCCTCGCCCTTCCGCCTCGTGGACATCCATCTCTCGGTCCTGCCCCTCCTCCTCCTCCTCCTCCTCCTCCTCCTCCTCCTCCTCCTCCTCCTCCTCCTCCTCCTCCTCCTCCTCCTCCTCCTCCTCCTCCTCCTCCTCATTATGACCATCCTCGTCTGGGTCGGGACGCGAGGATCTGGGGGTGGAGGCTGAGGAAGGCAGGCCAGGGCGGGAAGCATGCAGCCTGAGGCTGAAGGCCCAGTGTGTGCGGATGCACGCTGGACGTCGGGTGCAAGTGGCTGGGCGGGCGCGTGGCGAATGGAGGCTGAGAGCGGTTGGCAGAAGTTGGAGGCGGGAAGCTGGCACATGGAAGCCTGAGGGTGGAAGCTGGATGTGAAGCCGTGGGCGGCAAGCCTGCCCAGACCCCCCGGGGCACCGCGGACCGGGACCCCAGGCCGAGGCCCCCGTGGGCACGGGGCGCTCTCTTCGCGGACTCTCCGCGCGGAGCGTGTCCGTGCAGCTGCGCATCCACGGGAGCGCGCCACGGAGCCCAGGCCGCGACGGCGTAGACACGGACATGCTCCTAGCTCGTGAGCAGAGTGCGGGAGAATGGAGGACGTGAAGGAGGCGGAGACCGCAACGGGAGCAGGCGGAGGACGCGGGGAAAGAGGGGAAACAGAATGGGCAGAGTAGCGAGAAGAGGAGGCCGAGCACCCCAAGGATGCGCTCCTGGGCCCGCCCTGGCGACCCCTCCAGGAGAATGGCAGCGGGAAGCACGCAAGCACGCCCACGGCCCCCATCCTTTCCTGCGCGCGGCTGCCGAGAGCCGCAACGGCGACAGTGGGCTCTGCAGCTGGACCGACCCGTGCACAGAAAAAGGCCACGGCGCCGTGCAGGCAGTGAGACGCGGCGAGCGGGCACGGCGGAGCCCGCGCCGCACAATCGTTGACTGGCTGCCATGAGCCGCAGGGGTCCTCGGGGAAGCAGGGTCCTCGATGCCTCAGGAGGCGCCTGCGCTCCGCCGCCGCCACCATGCCTGTCCGCGGCCATCCTGAGCCCCGGCTCGGTGTCCGCGTGCCTTCCTGGCCGAGGCCGGCAGGGCTCACCGTCCTGCGCGCGGCCCAGGACGGCCCTGGCCGGGCACGGGGGCTGCGTAGAAGCGACTTCTGCGGAGGGAAGCCGTGGGGATCCCTTCGAGTGGCGGCACACCCAGAAGCGTTTTTGGCGGCCCAGGGCCCGGGAAGGGACCCCAGAGGCCAGAAATCATGGGCAGACTCAGGGCCACGCTATCTGAGGGCAAGTTTGGCCTATGGCAGACAGCGTGTATGAATCAGCGCGGCCAAGCTTGGCCAGCATTCTGGCAGCATATACTATGCAAGTGATGAGACAGCCCTGCAGCTCTACAGCCTCTTGGGCGCGCAAGGAGAGAACTCTGGCCAGGATTTCAGGAGGCCGCCGAAGAAACACTTCAGATAGATCTACAGATCTACATACTAATGTGTAGATGCATACACATGCATACGTACGGTATACATGCGTTCCCGAAACGATGTTTGCGCTTGGGGGGCCAGTCGCGGCCGTCCGTCGCCATTGCTTCTGGGCCTGGGTGTCGGTCGCCGCATTTGTTGTCGCCGTCGCCGCCCGTCGCCGCCGTCCGCCGTCGCTCCTTCGCACCTGGGTATCAGTCGCCGCTGTTGCTGTCGCCGTTGCCGCCCGTCGCCGCCTCGTCGCCGCCTCGTCGCCGCCCGTCGCCGCCCGTCACCGCCGACCCGTTGCCACCCCTCGCCCTGTTGCATTGCAATCGACTGCGTTGCACTAGATTGCACCACATAGATCGCAACACGTGCTTCACAGCACATGTACCGGACCGCATAGATTGCACCACACACCTTACACCACATAGCATGCACCTCGCGGGTGAGCACGCTAGGTCCGAATAGATTGCACCGCCTTTCTTGCACCACGTAGATTGCATTGCGTGAGCTGCACCATTTCAATTGCGCGACGCAGAATTTGCTCTACAACGACTCCCTTCTCAAACGGGAACAGGTTATGCCACCCTCCCGAAGCCATACTTGTCGAATGTCCCTGGGATAATACAATGTGCACATGGTTTTGCCCCATCGTCCGTCTCAGCATGGATCCATACAGTGCCAGCCAAGCCGGCGCCGACAGCCCTCCCTCATCTCTGCCAAACCATACTATGCGCACCTTCCTCTTTTAGCAAAAACCAAACATTGCCAAGAGTCCGTTGCCAAAAAATAGAGAAGAAACAACACAAATTCCACACGCACGCGTCGTCGCGCTCGCACGCCGCAGTCCGTCCGAAAACCTGGGGTGCCGTAGGGATTTCAAGATGGATGTTCCCGCAAACATATATCTGCTTTCAATGATAACAACAAAAAACGCGACAGGGCTTCCCAACATGAGTTGTCAACAAAATCTGCTCGGCGCGCGCCTTGTGAATTTGTATAAAAACGATCGGTGTTCACCAGCTTCGTCGAAGAACACCATGCGTGCCTCCCGCGCGCGCATGTCGAAATAATTCGAAGGCCATTGCGCGCTCGTTTGTGGGGGGCGCGAACCTGGCCCAAAAAAAACCATGCGGGCCCCTCGCGCGCGCCGGCCGCGCGCGCATGTCGAAATCGTTCCAAAACCTGCGTCGCCGACGCGTGTACACAATCATCGTCATTGGCGTGACCAGCATCGGCCCCGTCATTGGCCTTGCCGCCGTCATCGTCATCATCACCACCATCATCGTTACTATCATTATCGCGTCCGCCTTTCACGTCGCCATGACACTGCGCCCGCCCGAGTCACCGAGTCGCACTGAAGTGCCCGCGCGTAAGCGCGGCCTGCAAGACGCGGTGGGGAACCCCCAGGTGTCAGTGCCACCGCGGCCGCGTCGGTCGCGCCAGACTGATTGGCCGCTCTGCCTGCGAGTTTGCGCGATTGCGCGGCCGCAGCGATGCGACAGCCAGCGCCAAGCAGTCATCGCAATCGCCGCCGCATTGGTTTTGCAAACCTAGGCGGGTTGGTGGGGGGAGTAATGCACGATCAATGGATTTGGCAACTCCAAATTCTTCGAAGTTGCGTCAACCACATATATTGCACCACGTAGGCTGCACCACATGGCTTACACCACAGGGTTGCACCAAATATGTTGCACCACATAGCATGCTAGAACACACCGTTCGGAGTCCACGCTGGCTAAAATATCTACATGTGGGCCAGCGTGGACTCCGAGCAGAGCGTGTGTAGCCATATGTGTTGTGCAACCGACTTCGGCACCGCCTGATCCCTGGGCTTTGCCCTCTCCCGGCCGCGTGAGGCCCCGCCTTCTTCCGCCCTTTCTCTGCTAATTAAAGCTGTGCGCGTCCCGCTTAGCTTTCAGCGGAAGAGGTTCGCTCTCGCCTTGCAGATCAAACAGTTGTGCAACCGATGCTGTGTAATATATGTGGTGCGATCGATGTTGTGCATCACATGTAATGCAATTAACGTAGTGCAATCTACGTCGTGCAAAATATGTGATGCTAGCTATGTTGCGCAATCTCTGATGTACAGCACAGGAGCGGAATTCCGTGGTGCGCAACGCATGTCGCGCAACCTATGATACAAGCGAACAAAATGAATAAGCGCGCCGCAAACGCCAAACAGAAATCGTTCAATCTGTGTGGGGCAAGCTATGTGATTCACTCTGGCGCAGTCTATGCGATGCAAACTATGTGGTGCAATCTACGTTGCGCAACACTTGATGCTGAATACATGTTGGTGTGCGTACTATGCTGAGCTATGTGTGTGGCGCAATGTTGGTGTGCAACCTGTATGATGCAGCACATGTGGTTGTGCCAAATATGTTGTGCATGACATGTGGTGCAACGTGTGTCGTGCACTGTATGTGATGCAACTTCTGGAGTGGACTATCAGAAAGCGAGCCGCTGACGCGATTTGTTCGCGTTATCTATGTGGTGCAACCCAACGGCGGCGACGAGCGGCGGCGAGGCGCGACAGGGCGGCGACGGGGCCGCGACGGCGACCACTGAGCCGCCAGACCGCCCACACGGCCCAGACGACGGGCGGCGACGAGGCGGCGACGGGGCGGCGACGGGGCGGCGACGGCGAACACATAGCCGCAAGACCGCCCACAAGGGCCGGACGACGGGCGGCGACGAGGCGACGACTGGGCGGCGAAGGCGGGAGCATCGCCGCCAAACCGCCCAGACGGCCCGGTTGCTTAGAAGACAAGTAAGAACCAGTGAGTGCAAGCCCTGTTTGGGGAATATCGATGTAGATATAGATGTGCATATATATATGTATATATATATAGATGTGCATATACATATATATATATATACATATATATGTGTGTGTATATATATAGATGTGTGTGTACATACATCTGTGTGAGTCGACCTAAGCACGATACAGCGGGCTCGCACTCAATCTAAAAAAGGGCATTCCGTAAGTGCCGGGCGCCCGATCCGAGAGGGGCTGCAGTTCAGCGCAGAGCCGGCCCTCGCCCCTCGACGCTGTAGACGGAGCGACACTTTGCCAGGAGGCCCCGGCAAAAGCTGCTGGTCGCGCGTGGGGCGCCACCCGCTCGCGCACACACGAGGAGCGCACGTACGCTCCGCCCGCCGCCCGCCCCCTCGAAGCAGAGGCATGTCCCGTGGACCTCACGCGGTGTCTCCAGTGCGTGGGGCCCCAGGAGTTGAGGGTCGAGGGTCGAGGGCCTCGTCGAGGCTCGAGGGCCTCTTCGAGGCCCGAGGCTCGGGGCTCGCGGGCCTCTTCGAGGCTCGAGGGTCGAGGCTCGCGGGCATCTGCGACCAACCGCCGCGCGCGCCGCCTCTTTGCGGGCGGCCGCGGGGCCCGAGGCGTTTTTTCCCTGGAGCACCTGGGGCGAAGCGACGAGCCAACGGCCGCCCCGATCGACCCAGGACACCCGAGGCTCGGGGGCCCCGCCCTCACCGTCGCCAGACTGTCGCCCCGAATCCGCCGACACTTCGGCGTGTGAGCGACGCTGTCGTCATCGTCGTCGTCGTCGCCGCCGCCGCCGCCGCTGTCGCTGTCGCTGTCGTCGTCGTCGTCGTCGTCGTCCTCGTCGTCGTCGTCGTCCACCTGGAAGCGATGACGAGGGCCCGGAACGAAAGCTGGAATAGGAAGGCAGTGGGGGCGGAGAGTGAAGGTGTCACACCTCAGCATGAGCTCGTCCGGCGGCGCGGCAGAGCTGGCGAAGAAGGCCGATGTGCCCCCAAGAGTGGTTTCCAGACGCATGGTTAACCCTGCGCGGCGCTGAGATTCGCGCGCCAGCGCGCAGATAGGAGACTAGGGAGGAGGGGGGAAGACGGGCAATGGAACTGACCACAACGCGGCCGCTGATTGGCATCGCGTCGAACGGCTCACATCCTGCCCGCCACGGCCAGGCGCACCCTTCGCAGCTTCTCGTTGTCCTTGTCCTGAGGGGCGCGCACCGCTACCTACCAGCGCCAGCCCTGGCGGTTCCAGGCTCGGGGATAGTCCAACTGCGCATGCCCGGTCAGGGCCCCAAGTGGGCCCGAGATTGGCCCCACACGGCCCAATGGAGCTTCAGGTGGCCTCCCAAGAAGCCAGGAGCTGCCCAAGAGGGCCCACACTGGGCTCGCAGACGGCCCCAGGCTCCCACCCTGGAACATGTTTTTTCGGGCGCTCCTCTGGTCCTTCCGTGGGCCCCCGGAGGTACATTTCCGGTCCTTCCAGGGTAGTCTGGGCTCACGTGCGCACGATTTCCGTAGTCCCTTGGCTTAAGAGTGCACCAGTCTTCCCGCACGCATGCTTCAAGGAAGCCAAATGGGTGCCGTGCCTTGCTGACAATACGGGAAGTTTCCGCAACAGGATAATCATCTTCATCATCACCAACGTCACCAACATCCTCAGCACAAACACATCATCATCATCATCATCATCATCATCATCATCATCATCATCATCATCATCATCATCATCAGCATCATCATCATCATCATCAGCAGCAGCAGCATCAGCATCATCATCAGCATCATCAGCATCGTCATCATCATCAGAATCGTGGACATCGTCATCATCACCATCATCGTCGTCATCATCATGCTCATCCTCATCCTCATCCTCATCCTCATCCTCACCACCACCATCACCATCACCATCACCATCACCATCATCATCATCATCATCATCATCATCATCATCATCATCATCATCATCATCATCATCATCATCATCATCATCACCGTTCCCCACATGGACACCCCCAGCAAGACACACCCACCGACGCGCACACACCTCACCATGGCCATTATCATCATCCTCTTCATCACGCACCCACTCACACCAGGACACTCACGTACTCACCTTGAGGGAAGTCTCGAGCGGGAGCACCCTCCCTACGGGGCCCGCACTTCGTGTAGGCACTCCGAGCGGGTCATCGGAATCATCTACCAGGCAAAGCGCTTGAGCACCCCAAGGGGGAAAATCATGAGGATGTCTCGATCGGGGGCCTCGTTTGTGAGTGAATTGAGGAGGAGTCTCAGGCCGGAGCCCCCTCTTCATGGGGCCTGCACTTCATGTTGGCAACCCGCAAGGGTCATCGGCAAATTGTCCCGGGCATAGCACTTGAGCACCCCAAGTGGCCAAATCGTGATGATGTCTCAAGCAGGGGCATCGTCTGGGATTAAACCGTGAGTGGGTAATCCTGATCCTCATCACAATCAACATCATCAGCAAAATCATCACAGTCATCATCCTCGTCATCATCATCACCATTCAACAATCAGCATAATCCTCACCATCATCAAACTCGTAATCAGCATCAACTGCAACATTATCACAATCATCATAATCCTCATCATCATCGGCAGCAGTACAAGCATCAGCATCAGCATCATCATCAGCATCATCAGCATCATCATCACAATCAACATCATCAGCAACATCATCGCAACAGCATCATCGCCATCATCATTAGCAACACCAACATCAGCATCACCGTCAACGTCATCCTCATCAGCACCAGTATCATCAGCAGCAGCAGCATCATCATCAGCATCAGCATCAGCATCAGCGTCACCAACAAAGCCATCAAACCCGTCGCAACAATCATCACCATCATCATCAAATTAATCAGCATCATCATCATAATCAGTATCATCGATACCAGCAGCATCAGCAGCATAATCGTCATCATCATCAGATCATCATCATCATCATCGACATCATCATCATCGTCGTCGTCACCGACCATCATCATAAGCATAACCAGCATCATCACCATCATCATCCTTAACATCTGCATCAGCGTCAACATCATCATCATCATCATCATCATCATCATCATCATCATCATCATCATCATCATCATCATCATCATCATCATCATACTCAGCACCATCATCATGATCTTCGTTAATATCATCACCATCACCCTCCGCCTTCTCCCCCTCCTCCTCCTCCTCCTCCTCCTCCTCCTCCTCCTCCTCCTCAGGTCCCGGATCCAGATGGGCGCGTCCAGCTGGTTGGGTGCCGCCTGGGCCGAGCATGCGCAGGAGGGATCAGGAGCAAGAAGCCCAGCCAGAAGACGTCTGCACACCGACAACGTCCCATCGGCGGCGCACTGGCCTTCTAGAGAGGCGAGCCCTCCATGTTGAAACGCCTGCAACACTATTGTGTTTGGTATGAATTTAGCATGCGCGCGCGTGCGGACTGTGTACCATTTCTTGGAGGAGGGATGATTGGCAACAATACTTAGAGATGAGCGAAAACGTCGCGCAAAATCATGTCACAGGGGCGAGGGGGTGGCGATGCCAGGCTGGCCAGGATGGCGCGAGCTCGTGTGGAGAAGGAGCGATGGGCCAGAGCGCACACCGCGCGATCCCAGGACTCCAGGCTGGGCAGGGCTGTGGCGTCTGCTTCTCCTGTGAGATGGGAAGCTATGCAGTGCGAGCTATGGAGGAGGGGGAGGAGGAGGAGGAGGAGGAGGAGGAGGAGGAGGAGGAGGAGGAGGAGAAGCAGGAGGAGGAGGAGGAGGAGGAGGAGGGAGGCGGAGGAGGCGGAGGCGGAGGAGGGGGAGGAGAGGAGGGGGAGGAGGAGGAGGAGGAGGAGGAGGAGGAGGAGGAGGAGGAGGAGGCGGAGGAGAAGCAGGAGGAGGAAGCTTGCGCGCACGGCGCCCGAGAGGCGCCCCCGGCGGACCCGCCCGGCGCACGGGGCGCCCACGAGGTGCCCACGGGCGGCAGCAGCGGCGAAGCCTCGGCGGGGACCCGCCCCGTGCGGAGGTTGGCAGGAGCCCCCCGGCCGCAGACCTGCCTCGGCACGCCCCGCGCGCCCCGGCCGACGGGCCCCCAGAAGAGTGCTGGTGCTCCCTGGACTTTTTTTTGCTTCGCGGGTCGAGAGCGCACCTCCTCCGGTCGGAGCTAAAAGCGGGCCGCGCGAAGCTTGAATTCACCAGAGATGGGGGAGGAAAAGGGGGATGAAAAGGGGGGGAAAAGGGGGGGAAAAGGGGGGGAAAAGGGGAGGAAAAAGGAGGGAAAAAGGGGAAAAGGGGGAAAAGGGGGAGAAGGGGGGAAAAGGGGGGAAAGGGGGAAAAGGGGGAGAATCAACCAGAGATGGGGGAGGAAAAAGGGGGGCGCAGCCTCAAAACTGCTCCCTGGACATCCTGCCGCGTGCCTCCTCGACGAGTGAACGACGGCACGCCGCGGCCGCCGGGCCCAGAAGAGTGCTGGGCGTTCCCTCGGTGGGCATCCCGCCTCGCGGTCGCGGGTGGGAGTCCCTCGAGGCAACATCGTGTTCATGGCGCTGCTCCTCTTCCACCTGCGAGCCGCCAGAGGCCTGAGACGAGGAGGAACAGGGGATGGTGAGGAGAGACACGAAACAGCGACCTCACCAAACCCAAACGCCAATACGTCGGCGGTATCTCGGTCACCCTCCGTCCTTGGTCACCGTCGGTTCTTGGATCATCCTCGCGAATCGGTGACAGCTGGCATGGACCACGACCAAGATCGGCGGCATCGACAAGATCTCGCAACGTCTTCGTCATGGTCAGCGTGCTTCTTCCCTCCAGGTGAGTCGATGATCCTTCGAACGCGTGTTAGCGACAACATGCGCTTGTCCATTAAAGCCCAAACACATCTATCTTTCAAGAACATGGGACCCCTCCGCTGGCCAAAGTGAAGAACATTCGAAGGTACCCTCCCTCAGGATACACAAGAACACCCAACAAACACGAAGAACAGCAAGGTAAATACCCTCCCCGAACCGACCTCGATCTTTGACCTGGTTCCGACCGTAACACACGTCCTGAGGATCATCGAGGCGAGGAGGAACCCAAACATCGGGATGCTCCATTTGTTTCGATGCGTGGGCCCCGGAGGTCCGGACCACCTCCCTCGGGCCCGTGTTTCGCCCTGCGCCGTTTCTGGACGCCCCGAGGCCCGGTGAAGGCTCCTGGAGGCCGAAAACAGTCGAAAACCCGCCGCTCCAACGTTTGTTTGGGAGTCGGATCTCTGGGAACAGGGGGGCCACGAGGACAGACTCCCGACGTCATGATTTTCTCATGACATCGACCCCCAGTGGTTCGACCCTTTCCCCAGGACGGGTTTCTCATCCCGAGTCATTTTTTGACGGTCCCGAGGCCCGGTGGGCGCGTCCAGAGGCCGAAAATGAAGGAAAACCTCCCTTCGTGATTTTTTCATAAGGTTGAAGAAAACCTCCCGCCATGATTTTTTCATTGCCCGAGGGATCTCTGGGAACGGGGGGGACCACGAGGACAAGTCAGGGACGGGGCGTCGGCCCCGCAGGCCGCCGACCTGTGCAAGGTGGGCGGCCCAGGTGGGTCGTCCCAGAGACCCTGGGACCTGAAGGTCCAGCAGGCTGCCTGACCCAGAACCCCTCGGGCCATGAAAAAATCACGACGGGGGGCTTTTCCTAATCTTCGGCCTCCGGGGGCCCTTGCCAGGCCTCGGGACCGTCAAAAAACGACTGGGGACGAGAAACCGGTCCTGGGGAATGGGTCGAGATCTCTGGGGGTCGACGTCATGAAACATGATGGACCCACGAACCCGGAAAGGGATATAGAACCGCATGCATGGAAACGTTTTCACGACACCGTATTGGGCGACGGGCACTTCCACGAGACACCCCGCGAAACATTCCACGAGACACGGGCGACCGTTTTCAACGTTTTCCTGGAAACATTCCACGAGACACCCCGCGAAACAGTCCACGAGACACCCCACGAAACATTCCACGACGACAGGCAACCACTCAACCAAGGCGGTGTGGTCGTGCTGGGGAGTGGTCGTGCTGGGGTGTGGTCGTGCTGGGGGGTGGTCGTGCTGGGGGGTGGTCGTGCTGGGGGGGTGTCGTGCTGGGGGGTGGTCGTGCTGGGGCGTGGTCGTGCTGGGGCGTGGTCGTGCTGGGGCGTGGTCGTGCTGGGGTGTGGTCGTGCTGGGGTGAGGTCGTGCTGGGGTGTGGTCGTGCTGGGTGATGGTCTTGCTGGGGTGGGGTCGTGCTGGGGTGGGATAATGCTGGGGTGTGGTCGTGCTGGGGTTTGGTCGTGCTGGGGTGGGGTCGTGCTGGGGTGTGGTCGTGCTGGGGTGTGGTCGTGCTGGGGTGTGGTCGTGCTGGGGTGCGGGCCACACGAAAGAGCGGCCCGCACCCTGTGATTTATCGATCGGGATTTCAAAAACAAGCGTTTCGCCTGAGACATCCTCAATTGTTAATCCGCCGGCCCATCGATATTTATCAGGGAAAGAATCCGCCGGCCCACCTCAGTTGAGGCACCGGGGACAGGTTTACCTACTAGAAGAGAACCCTGGGCCTGCGCCCTTTCCGGGAAAAATCATGGCGTCGGGCGCCTAGAACTTAGCGCTCTCGCGCCGCCCCCCAGGGTAGAAGAGGAGGACGAGGAGGAATCGGAGCCGAGGGCAGCACGCGCGGCGCAGGAGGGGGGGGCACAGCGCGCAGAGGGGGGAGGAGGTGGTGGAGGACGAGGGCGACGAGGAGGACGAGGGGACCGAGGAGGAGACGAGGAAGGGAAGGAGGAGGAGGGCGAAGACGAGGATGACTTATACGAGGACGAGGATGGGGAGGACGACGAGGAGGACGAGCATGGCGAGAAGGAGGACGAGGAGGAGGACGAGGAGGATGAGGAAGACGAGGAGGATGAGGCTGGCGAGGACGAGCACGAGGAGGATGAGGATGGCATGGAGGACGGCGAGGAGGGAGACGCGGGAGAGAGGGAGGTGGTCAAGGGTCGGGAGCTCTCGCTCCGGCGTGCCGCGCGGCGTCCCACTGCGGCCCGAGTGTGTGTGCCCTGCGAGCCGACGGCGTGTCGCGCCGCTTCGCGGGACGGAAGGCTGGGGACCGGGACCCGGTTGAGGTGTCGCGCCTTCGGTGGCAACTCATGGAAGCCTCCCATACCATCTGGTCGGCTCTTGCGAGTCGATGCGGATCGACGCTAAATCGATGCCAGTCGAGGTGTCGCGCCTTCGGTGGCAACTCGTGGAAGCCTCCCATACCATCTGGTCGGCTCCTGCGAGTCGATGCGGATCGACGCTAGATCGATGCCAGTCGACGCTAAGTCGAGGCGAATAGACGCTGGCCGACGCTAAATCGGCGCCATCTCACGACTCCCAGACGCCGATCGACGCGAATCGTCGCTGAAAACGGCATCAAGAGGACATGCAAGGCTCCCATGATTTGCCACCGAACGCGCCGAAGCGTGGCTCGGCGGCCAGCGAGGGGAAGTGAGAAGGGGCGGGCCTCCTCAGAACGCTCGGAAGTCCCTGGCCATCCCAAAAAGTTTTCGGAGCCCTCCTCGAAGACGCGGGAAACCTCTGTGGGCCGGAGGACTTCCCTGGGAAGCCCCGCGGCCCCGCGGCCTTCCGAGAAGGCCCTGTCCTTCTCACTTCACCCCCTCGCTCGCCGCTGAGTGGTGGGCCAGAACCGACGGGCACATGCTAGCCAAAAGCTCCCGACCGCAGGACGAGGAAAGGAAACATGGGGAGGACGAAGGGCGGTCGGCATGCGGCAGGCGAAGCCAACCGGGAAGAGCGCGGGCCAGAACGGCAGGGGAGCGGGCAGCTGTCAGACCTTGACGCGGGGCAAGACGACAAGGGGTGGGAAAGGAAGGACATCGCGCAGTTCTTGAAAGGAGGACGTGGGGCGGAGGCGGACGTGTTCTCTTCATTTGCACATTACGATAATTATTCGTATTCGTACTAGTATGACTATTTTTCTCAGTAGAATGATTATGCTTATAAGTATGGCTGATATTATTACTGTCAATGTTTCTCCTCCTCTTCCTCCTCCCTCCTCCTCGTCCTCGCTCCGCCACCTCTATCCTGAACCTTGTCGCTTCGTTCTTTCCTTCTTCCTCCCTCGCTTCGTCCTCTTGTTCTTCCTCCCTCTTCCTTTCGGCTCCTCCCTCTTCTAGCCCCAGCCTGTTCGATCCCCTCCCAAACCTGACCCCACATGCGCCCTCTACCTCCAACTTCACACGCCCGTGGAGACTCCCAAAACAATCACGACCATCTGGCCACGTTCCAGCAGAGTCCATGGAGCCCAAAAACATTGCTGACCCTCCTCGCTCCTAAACAAATGCTGGCCGCGTGGACCCCAAACAGTGCGCCATTGAACTGTGGAGACACGGGCTATGCGGCGCAAGCAGTGTGATGAAAGCTGCGTCGTGTAAGCGACGCGGTGTGAGCTGTGGAAGCGAAAACTGTGCGGTGCAAGCTGTCGAGTAACCCATGCGGTGCGAACTGGAGGTGGAAACTATGGGGTGCATGCTACTCCAAATCCCTTTTTAATCGTCCCCTGGGTCTTGTTTTTTTTAGACGCCTTTTTTGTAACTGGGAGGGGTGCGGTTTATTGAGGCGCTTTCTTTGCATTGGAGTTTAGGGGGTCCGGTTTATCAAGGCGCCCCGTCGAAGAGGGGGGTCCAGAATATTAGGTCGCATTTGGAGAGGGGTCCAGTTTTTTAGGGGTGGGGCGATTAATAACGTATTTGGGGTATACGGTCAGACCGAAGCCCGCGCGGAGTTCTCGGATCGGCGCTGACCCTCCTGGCAGGAAGCCGGGCGTGTCCCTCCCTTGAGACCCTGGCGATGCAATTCTCTCACGCCCGGCGGCTTCGCTCGATTTTTCGGGCCCCAGGACCTTCGCAGATCGGTCCAGCCCGAAAGATGGCGCCGAAGAGTGGACGCCGAAAGAACTGGAAGTGGAAACCGTGGGGTGCACGCTGTGCTACGGTAGAGGGAAACAATTACCGAACACTCCCCCTTCCCCCCAACCTCAACGTTGGCACGCGGGGGCGACTGCGGTCGAATTGCACCTCATCAGACCCACCGCCAACTTTGAACACTGGGGGGAGGGGGCCGTTGACAGATGAGTGTGGCATGAGTGTTCGCTAATCCCACCAGCCCTCTGGGCGTAGGTGGTTCCGGGAATTTCCTCTTCCACCCATCCTTCTTCCCCTTCGGGGAGGAGTTTACCTCTCCCCCTAACCCCCTCCCCTGGACCTGGACGGGGGGTTTCGCTGGTAGTTGGAGCGTCCAAAACGGCCTCGGCGAGGAAGCCAAAATCATCGATTTTACTAAGGGTTTGGGCCGATTTTAGACGCTCCCGAGGAGGGGTGCTAATTGAGGGACCCCCTTCCTTTGATCGATCACCTCCAAGATGGCCCCAAGAGCGCTCCCAAGGCTCCCAAGAGCGCCCCAAGAGGGCCTCAAGAGGCGCCCAGGAGGCCCCAAGAGGCGACCAGGAGGCCCCAAGAGGCCTCCAAGAGTCCCCCAAAATACCCCCAAGAGGCCCCCAAGAGGCCCCAAGAGGCTCCCCCGAGGCACCCAAGACGGTCCAAGAAGTTCCCGGGACCGCCAAGAGGCCCCCAAGACGCCCCAAGAGACCTCAAAGAGTATCCCAAGAGACATCCCAAGAGACTCCGCGAGGCATTCAAGAGGCCTTTGACTCTTCTGATCGCCCTTATCCTCCTCCTCCTCCTCCCCCTCATTATCATCACCATCATCATCATCATCATCATCATCATCACCACCACCACCACCACCATCACCATCACCATCACCATCACCATCACCATCACCATCACCATCACCATCGTCAAGACCACCACCATCATCGTCATCATCAGCATCATCAATATCAACATCAACATCATCATCCGCCTATTCCTCCTCCTCCTCGTTCCTCCCTCCCCACCCTCATCATCCTCCTCCTCTTCCGCCTCCGACTCCTCCTCCATCCCCCCCCCTTGGGGTACGACGGCCTCCCCAGCCCCTTCTTCCTCTGTATGCTGCCCCGCTTCCATGATCACCTCTACTCGCCTGGGCGTCGTTTCTGGATGGGCTGGTGGGGATACGCGAAGCGTCAAGAATTTGTTCCGAGGCCTGTGGTGGCATGAGTGTTCGCTGATTTGTTCCGAGGCCGGTGTGTGTGGGTGAGGCTGGTGCACGCTGTGCGACGGAGGCTGCGAAACGGCGCCCACGAGGTGCACGCGGCGGCAGTGGGGCGCACCCCCTCGGCATACCATGAGGTCGGGCACGTCACCCTACAGGCGGATTTTGGGCGAAAAATAATAATATGAATTCGCCAGCCCAACGGGCCAGAGGCGTGCTAGAATCTCCAGTAAGTACTTAACAATATTTCTAGTTCGCGCGCGCGGGGCGGCCCCTGGGGGGCCCCGGACGAAAAATACCCCGGCCGGGTCCTGAGCGATCCCCAGGGGGGAGGCTATTTTTCGCCACCCCTCACGAGGATCGTGGCCTCCGAGGGGGGGGCTGCAATCGACTCCCCCCCCTCCCGCCCCAAGGGGCCCCCAAGAGCCCCCCAAGAGGCCCCAGGGGAGCCCAATACGCCGCCAAGGAGCCCCAAGACGCTCCCAAGAAGCCCCCAAGAAGCCCCCAAGACGGCCCCACGAGGCCCCAAATAGCGCTCCAGGGCCGGCGGAATGAGCGAAGAGATTTAATAAAAACATGTTTGAAACAAACACACAAACACACAAACAAAAAAACGCAAAGAAATTAGCAAAAACATAGCCAACAAACAATTGAAGCATCGTCCCCTAATTATTTCCCAACCCTCCTGTGTTGCCTGTGTTGGGTTCTCGGTTTGAATAGAGCAGTGTGGTCGTCCCGTCCTTCCTCCTTCCTCCTCCCCTCTCCTCCCCTCCTCCTTCTCTCCTGTTTCCTGTGTTCCACCACTATAGCTCGCGGTGGCCTGGGGGACTTCGATCTGCGAAACTGTCTGCACTACCGTGGGCTCCTGGGAGGCCCAGCGGAGGGACGTCATACGCGGACCACCACAAACGCCCCTTGTGTGTCCGTTTTGTATGTTTGTCGCTGCTCTTCTTGCTGCGCTCTTCTGAAATCACTGCTGGGTGCTCTTCTTGCGCACTGCGAGTCCTTCAGAATGCCAGTCAGCATTGAGTGGTCCTGAGTATACTCGCCACTTGTATAAAAAGGGTTGGGTACGTCGCAGGGTAATGTTTGACTATTTTGGAATACAGTCGAGCTCGATTGGAGAGGGCATGCGAGAGGACGCAAGACCTTTCCGAAGGCCATGTTGCCATATGGGGTGTAGGGGGCATGGGTCGCCAAAACAGAGGACACGAGGGTACCCTCGATTTGGAAGGGTCGGCCTGCTAAGCAAGCTCGGCTGCATTCCTCCCGTGGAGGGGCAGGCCCGATTTAAGCCATGCCACCAAGCGCGAGGCGCCCACGGATCGCCCACGAGGCGACACGCGGCACGGGCCGCAACGGTGGGCGAGAGCTCGGAGTACCCACGAAAATCCCCTGGACGGAGCCAAGGAAGAGCCCCCCAAGTGCAAGCACTGTTTTTCGGCGGCCTGGAAATTGGCACCAACACCAGCACAGGGTGTTGGTGGTAATATTTCGGTCACCTTGGAAGAAAGAATCCGACCACCATCACCGAGATTGGGATCGTCTTTCCTCGGTGGACACACACCGCCGATCTTGGTGTTGGTGTCAACCTCTAGGCCTTTGAGTTTTGGGCATGCATGCACAGAGCACCTGACAAGTGCAGGCACTACTTGAGGAAACCTGGCACACACACACACACACACAACTTTTGGAGGTCAGTGTAGCTTTCTTGGATATGCGCGGACAGCCCCTCCCTCGCGCGCGGAGCGCGCCAGGGGCGGCGCCGGAGGCGCCGCCAGTGGGTTCCAGCGCCAAAAAATCCGTGCGGAGCTTCGAATGCTTATCTGTCTGCAGACGCTTCCTCCTCGGCAGAGCGCCCAACAGCACCCTCGACGTGCAGAACCCTGGTGCTCGACTGCAGGGGAGCAGGACGCGGCTGCCCCCACAGAGCCCTGCACCGAGAAGTTGCCAGCGCCGTCGACGGCGACCCCGACCTCGCCGCGGCGGCGCGAGGGCGCGCCGCGGATCGACCAGGCCCTGAGATCCTGGCGCGTCGCCTGTTTTTCGCAACGGGCGGTGTTGCATTGCCCTGGGACCCTCACGGATCAATCCAGCTCGAAGAATGCTTCAGAAAAGGTGGGGTCCTGAGAGGCCTCCTAGAGGGGGTCCGAGTAGATGTGGGGTTGGAGGGTCGCGCCGCATCGGCGATGCACCGGCGATACATCGGCGATGC